TTGTAAAAGTGTTATTTTGGTGTGTACATTTTCAAAAATATCACTATGGGTTGTCCACTTCCAAAAATGTCATTAATTATGGATTTTGAAGCTTAATCTTAAAATTCTAAATCCTAAAATATGGTTTGACCCCTAACACTAAAATCCTCAAAACTAAACCATAATACAACATAATTATGCCAGACATAAATGATACAATGAGTAAATAATTTTGAAAGAATGACATTTTTACAAAGGTTTTGAAAAAGTGATAATTTTGAAAAGTGGCATTTCTCAAAATTTCTTGAGACAAAATTATCCCCGTGAAGTTACAAAATAAAATTGAGAATGTGAGTACAAAACCACTTACATAGAAGTCTATTAAATGTTTATCAATTTTATTCTCATATTAAATTTCTTATATTATTTGATGTCCAATTAAATTCTTTCACATATTTTCAAATAATTAGATTTTTTTAATCCTATTTAAATTAGGTTTATTTTTCACTATTTTACAAATAAATAGATAAATATTTTGACACATAGCTAACTCTTATCGAAAATAATTATTTTACACTTATATACACGTATCAAAATTTGGTCGACCGAATTGACACGTGTCACGATCATGATAAATTTATTACCATATTTTTATTTGAACTATTTGTACGCTTTAAATATTTTATAACTCGCATAAACAAATCAAACACGAAAAAAACAGAAGACAAAATTAGTTCACCCCCATGATGTAATAAAGTAAAATTGAAAATCTCAATACAAAACTACTTATAGAGAAGACTATCAACTATTTATTTATATTACCGTCGTATTTTATTTTTTATATTATTTGATTTTTAATTAAATTATATCACATATTTCTAAATAATTAGATTTTTTTAATCCTATCTAAAATATATTTAGATTTTTCTAATCCTATTTAAATTAGGTTGACTTTATACTATTTTACAAATAAATATAAATAGATAAATCTTTTGACATATGGTTAAATCTAATCAAAAATAATATTTTTACATTTGTATACATGTGTCAAAATCTTATTAACCGACTTGACACGTGTAATGTTATAACCCTCACTAAAGTTATGACCGGCCGCTTGGGTAAATGTCACGACCAGAGGCCAACCATAGTGGAACAGACACATAAGGCATAGCAAGGAGTATTCTGAAAAGAATGGAGTAAGGAACGGGTGAAGAGGAATCATTTTGGTTAATGAAACGGACCAAACCGCGAACTAGGTACCGCAGGTGGTCATGAGACCAGTGATCCGTATCGCGGAAAGTGCCCCAGGGCAAAGGAACACTTACCGCAGGACTAAGGACCCGAAGCACCGGACGGGAACATTTGCCTATAACCAGACCAAGCTAGGCCGTGATCTAGTCGGGTTAGTGGCTGAAACTGAGCCACGTCCACTCCTCGGGTAGTTAGTAAAATTCGTGGACAGGAGGGAGCCACGCCGAGCTCGAGTCACATTGACACCCGTCATCGCCCTTGCATTTCGAGGCAATGACCCGCGTCCCATCCAGCGACAAATGTCAGTGGCGAGGGCAGCAGGTGTCAGCGACGGAGCGATCACTGCGACACGTCGTAACCCGTTCCTCCCCTATATAAGAAGCCGTCCATGAGCAATTTTTCTCAACCAACATTCGACCCGAACCTACCCTTACCCGAAACTAGTAAAAATAAGTGACCTAGAAACCCGAGAGTTCTAAGTCCGAGTAAACCTAGATCAAGAAAGATCTTGTCGTAATAACCTAAGCTTCCGAGTCACCACTTACGCAGTGGTGAGTAGGGTCTCGGTGATTAATGAGTACAATCACCGTGGGTTGCTTGTTGCATGTTGCATGTCGTTATAATGCTAGATCCTTACTGCTTGTTCGGTTGTTTGCATGCATGATCGGTTGAGCTTGATCGRATATGATAATTTAGTCATGCTTGTTTATRCCGTGTTGATTGWTTGCTTGGGCATGCATGGTTAGCTTTGTTCTTGAATTATCGTTACTAGTGATARCAAATGGGTTTCTTGCTTGCTAGTAGTTCATGGAATGATGTTGATTCGGGTGAGTTAGGCTATCGGTTGTGTGTAGAGTGATCATCTTGCATGTAGCCTAGTGTTGCTAAGTTGTGTGCGCATCATGCAAGTGAGGCATGGTGTAATGGTCCTGCGTTGTCCGATGAAGTCATAGCATTACGCAGTGCGGCRTAATGTTGCGCCATGGTGGTATGTGGGTCGCACCCATAGGCCATGATACACGACGGTGTATTGAGTTCATGTGGGTGTTCCGCAGAACTCGGAATATTGAAAGACTTCGTGTCTTATATTCCAGTACCGGAGACGTGAGTGGAGGGATAGCGAAGAGGGAGAGAGTCCCATACGGATGCCCTTTATTTCCCAAGTGTTCCAGTCCCAGACGTCAACTCCGGAGCAAGTAGTACCTCCAGAGTTTACCTTACCACCAAGTGTGGATCCTTACCCACACAGCACCGAGTATTGGGAAAGATACGTGGAAAGGTTTCGACAGTCAGAGTCCTACTGGGATTGGCATAATAGGGATGCTCCACAGGTTATTCGAGATTTTCCACCAGTTCCAACATACACACCTGTTGGGAATCCCATGGAAATCGGAAATGAGTCTTACGGAATATCAGAAGCAGTACAAGATTCGAGAGCACCAGGACCTAGTAGGGGATATGGGATCCGATATTCTTCACCCACAACAACGTGGTGTCGACTATGCGGATTAAATGGTCATGTGTCCTACTTCTGCCCAACCCAGAACTGGAAGGACAAAGTGGTTAGTGTAATTTGTGCTCACTGTGGAAGAGAAGGACATCGAGGGAGCGAGTGTCCCATCATCCATCCAGAGATCACGTTTA